GCCTCCGGGATTCAGTCAACAGAGAGTTACAAAACTGTAATTAATTTAATGAAAAACCTGTTAAAAAGAATCTTTGCTTTACATCGTGACAATGTCCCAACAACTTGCAGTTGGGGTTCAATACATTATTAGAAGACTTAGGCTTATTTCTTCTTTTAAGGTCATTTCACTCAGAGAAATGCTCTGTTGCTGAGCCTGTGCAGACGTGTGTAAGTACCACAGCTACTCCTGCTGGTAAGACATCTCCTCCTGCAATCTCCAGCTTTTCTCTGCACAGCAGAGCAAACCTGAACTGTGGGCTCGCTCCTTTTCTTTTTCTGTCAGTGCTGTGCACATCTGTTTTGCTGTCTAAATAATAACTGTGCCGCTAAGGTGGCTTCCATATATAGCTGACCTGGATAACTTGACAGGAAAACATTTCCTCTCCAAAAACAGCATACAGTTTTGGGCTTAATTTTAGTAACGCGAGGTTTATTGCCCATTTCTTTTGCTGGAGAAAAATAAAACCCTGGCTATGATGCACGTGTCGCTTGCCAGCGTTCGACTTTCCTTCCTAATCAAACACCGCAGAACTTCTGGAAACGACGTGAAGACAGCGCTGCGCTAATGAGATGGCATCTCCCGGCTAGGGAGCTCATCATCAACACCCACATCAGACAAAACCTCTTCTTCCTCAAGGTCAAACTGTTCCAAGGACAATTCATTGACCTAGGGAGAGAAATCGAGAGTAAATAAACGTTTTTCTCTACAACGTATTTGAGTTTCATCCCTCCGCGCCTGGAAGCAATGTATTTGTACCACGTATTGTTACCTAGTGACAGCCTCCCTGGAATTTACCAGCTCAGGAACACTTTTGTTTTGGAAAGACTGACTGACATCACAAGGCAATGAACCAAAAGGACGCCCGGCAGCTCTCCTCCTGAGCAAGTCCTTCCGAATTCCTGTCCCTTCCTCTTCCTGTCAGGCTGGAAGGTGCCTTGTGGAGATGGTGCCAAGGGATGTGAGACGGGAGGGAAGGCGAGGAGTGACTCTCCTGGTAAAACAGAGGTTTGAGAAGCAGCAGGCTTTCTGTTTGACTTTGCTGCTCACTTCTCTTATGGTCACTGCACTTGAGGTCAGTTCTCTGCGGGTTTAAAAGAAGTCAGATAGAAGGGGCTGTACAGAGGAAAATGCAGAGAGAGAACAAACCAGCAGAGATTTCATCTTCTCAATGGACAAAAGAAATAAAAATAATCTGATAGGTACTCTATATATTTATGTTTAGCAATTTGGAAAGGGCAGTGTCAGGAGGAAGGAGCCAGGCTCTGCTCTGGGATGGCCAATGCCAGGACAAGGGGCAATGGTCCCAAGCTGGAGCACAGGAGGTTCAAGCTGAACATGAGGACAAACTTTGTCAGTGTGAGGGTTCTGGAGCATGGCCCAGGCTGCCCAGAGAGGTTGTGGAGTCTCCTTGTCTGCAGACACCCAAAGCCCTGGCCGTGTTCCTGTGTGACTGCTCTGGTGATCCTGCTCTGGCAGGGGTTGCACTGGGGGAGCTTTCCAGGGCCCTTCCCACTCCTCACATTCTGTGATTCTGTGATTTTTGTGCTACTCTTCAGTAAGAAGGAAGATTCTTCCCGTGGACACTTGGTGACTCGGTGTCATCAAACGGGGTAATGTGTCACAAGGCTCCTCAGACACTTCCTCCTCGCAGACTGCAGGAGGAGATAGACGCTGCGCAGCGCGCTCTGGTGCCTCATGGGACAGGGATGCTTGGTTTCAAAGCACATCCTGGTCAGCGATTGCTCCTGATAAGCAGCAAACTTAGAAACGTTTTCAAAGTGAGATGAAAATCCTCTGCAGGAGCCTGGCTGTGTGTAAAAGCTGGCACACAGCACTCATCCCACAGAGCACGAGGATAGAAGTGTTACTGTTGTGCCAGGGTGTTTTGGTTCGGTGCGTGTGAACAGATCCCACAGTTACCTGTGGGGATTTCACCAAAGGTTTTACTTCACCAAAGCTTTTAACAATCTGGGTAAGGGTAAGTTCATAAAGTGTATTTCTGGAGAAGGAGCTTGATTTATTTAAGAACCTGTTAAAAATACCATTTGATTTAACCTACTGGGATTTTGACTCTCACAGATTCCATGAAGAGCTGTCCTGGACACTGTCCTGTGTGAGACTTGTCAAGCTGCACCATAACAGTCCTGCACCCCAACTGCTCGCTCTCCTGTGCCGTTTCAAATACACAAGCATTGCTGCACGAAAACACCCAAAAAAGCAAGAGTTTTAAAACCTTAGCGTGCCGGACAATTCCCAGATGTGGTTACTCCCTGGGATTTATTTGCTCCCAGGTAATTGCTGCATAAGAGGAGGACGTCAGAGGCTGCAGCAGTGAACAGCTCTATCTCCAGTCCTTGGATGTGACACACAGGTCCTATGCAAAAGCTAAATATCCTCTGGTTTTACCTGAACAAGCCCCTTCAGTTCCTCCTCTGTTAAGCAGTCTGTGGGCTCCTCTTGGCTGGAATTGTACTCCACGGCCACTTTTCCATTCTCTGAAACAGATAAACAGCCAGAGACAGCGTTAGTTCCTACTGTGTGTAATGACTACAAGCCTGCCCTGAACTCCAATTGGGACAATTCTCCTTCATCACAGCTTTCAGAGCAACTGGCTGGTTGGTCTCGATGAGTGTGCTTCTTTCTCTGGCCTACTTGCCTGTCTTCCCTGCAGAAAACCAAACGGCTCATCACTAAATGGAGTGGAAACTGAAATCGGGGAAGCAGAAATCTACAGAGAAGATGGAGCGTGTTCATTGCCGGTCTCTGTCTGTGTGATGGACCAGAAGGCAGAAAGCTCTGCAAAAACATCTGAATCCAGAATCCTGCCTTTTAACAGAACACCTCAAAGAGTCCAGGGGAGCAATCTGGCAGATGAAAGGCCCCTCTCTGTAAAATGAGGATAGTGGCACTGACCTGAAAACATGCTGATAAGCATAAACTACTCAGATACCACAGAAACAGGCGCCAGCTAAAAGCTCAGAGATTGCAAGACCTGGAACCCAGAGACAGCAGATCCAGCAGCTCCCGGATAGGCACAGAGCCAGCTTCTGTGATTGAAAACTCCAAGGAGACAGCAGCCCCAAAGATGTGACACTGAACACAACAGTGGGGCACAAACCTTTGACATCACCTGCTTGGCTTGGAACCAGGACAGGAGGGTGCAAAGTGCTGCAATCCCATTCATGTTACCCCTGGAACCAAACCTGCCCACTCAACACACACAGGTAGTGGCAAAAAGCTCTCCCTGCCAGGGTTTACAATTGTGGAATTTGGAGTTTCTTTGACTTATTTACCATTAGAAAATGTCTGACTTCCTGTCAGATTTTCCTTTCACTCAGATAGCTGATAGGGTGGAACGACTCTGTTAAATCATTACAGACCACCAAGTTTAATTTTGCCCAAGAACACCCAAGCCTCAATCAATCCCAAGAAAGGTTCAGAGAAAAAGAATTCATATCAGTTACCATGAAAGCTGTAATATCATTAGGCCAAACACCCCAGCATTTCATACCAAAATACGCCTTACCTAACACTACGAGGAGTATCTTCTGAAAGGCGCTAGACAAAGCCTTCCCAACTGCGAGTCTCTGAACTCTTCTGGAGGCTGTGACAAACTCGAGAGGATCTGCAGACAAGAAGCCACATGTTATTGATGTAAGGATGACACTGCATATGAAGCACACCAGCTGCATCACGCTAGGAGATGTAACCAAACACAGCCTTATGGATCTGATAAAAAAGCTCCTTATGTTTTGGGAGTCACCAGCAGCACGGCAGCACCCTCAAAGGGGCTTTGTGTGCCGAGCCACAGCAGAGCATGATCCTCAGCCCCGTGTCACACAGAATCGCAGAATATGAGGAGTTGGAAGGGACCTGGAAAGCTCCCCCAGTGCAACCCCTGCCACAGCAGGATCACCAGAGCAGTCACACAGGAACACGGCCAGGGCTTTGGGTGTCTGCAGACAAGGAGACTCCACAACCTCTCTGGGCAGCCTGGGCCATGCTCTCGACCCTCACCCTGACAAAGTTTGTCCTCATCTTCAGCTTGAACCTCCTGTGCTCCAGCTTGGGACCATTGCCCCTTGTCCTGGCATTGGCCATCGCAGAGCAGAGCCTGGCTCCTTCCTCCTGACACTGCCCTTTCCCAATGGATCCCCAGGAATGAGGGCACCCCTCAGTCTCCTCTGCTCCAAGCTCAAGAGCCCCAGCTCCCTCAGCCGCTCCTCAGCAGGAGATGCTCCACTCCCTCCAGCATCTCTGTGGCCCTGCTGGACTCTTTCAAGCAGTTCCTGTCCTTTAACTGAGTGGCCAGAACTAAACACAATATTCCAAATGCAGTCTCACCAGGGCAGAGCAGAGGGGCAGGAGAACCTCTCTGCCCTCCAACCACCCCTTCTCATCCAGCCCAGGATGGCGTTGGCCTTCTTGGCTCAAGGGCACATTGCTGGCTCATGGGCATCGCTGCCACCAACACCCCCAGGGCAGTGGAGAGCCCTGCAGGCGCCTGAGCTGTGCCACAGACGCAATCAGACAGCATGTTCACACCAGAAGTGGCTGCGATGGGGAATGAATAACGCTGCAGGCAGGAGGGAGAGAACAGAGGGTAGGAAAGCGATACTGGTGTGAAGCAGGGAGGGAAGAGGCACGCTCAGGATCCCCTGCTGCGTGACACAGCAGCTTACAAGGCCATGCACGGATCCTTGCCTCCAGCTACATTCAGATAATACATCAGAGCCACAGACTGCAAACACGAGACTGACCAGTGTCTGCGCCAGCTGCTAAGAGAGACTTCCAGCTGTACCTTCACTGTTTTCCACATCTCCCTCGCCGAGGGCAACTCCCCTGGTGCGTACCCCGTGGTTGGGCAGCGTCACCTCCACAGCACACAGGTATTTCAGAGATCTCTGCGGCGTCTTTCCCAGTTCCTCATTCTCACCATCAAAGCCAGACACATTCTGCAGCTGTTGGGAAGACCACAGATCATTAATTTATATTAAATAGGAAGGGGATGTTATGAGTACTTAGGCCTGTGCCTGCATACCACAGACTTTCTCTGCACTACGTGTGACTCCCAGGCAGCAGCATATGGTGGAGGCAGAGCAGGGATGTTTACTCTTTTGACCCGATTTTAGAAATACCTCAAGGTCCCCATCCCCTGACTCTCGGTTTCCTTGGACCCTGTCAGCACATAAAGATCACTGTCAAACCCTGGCACTGCTTTAATCACAGCTGCCCCCATTTTTATCACCAGAAGCCAAGCCAGTGCCCTCGCCCATAGCAATCTTCTCTCCCCAGGCTTTCAAAAGACCCCCTTTGTGGTCCAAAATGCAGCTCCTGTAGCTGTGTAGTATTTGCTGACTTGAGGACAATTCCACTAACCGCTCCAATTAAGAAGAGGATGAGGGGAAGGATGAAGGATGAATATAAAGGGTCCCTTACGGTGATGATGCGACTGGACCAGCCGTTAAAACCAAGGTAGTGGTTGGCCAACTCCTGGCACTTGTTGCTGTTGAGAGCAAGGGCTTGTTGCTGAAATCCTTTCTGCTTGGTACAAACACAAACCTGTCCAGAAAAGAACAACTGTGGTTAGCCAGACTGTGCTTGCAGGGATACACTGATAGCTCCGGGAGAGTCACACAGAGGTGACCTATTCCCTGTTCACACGTGTGCTTCTGAGATGCTTTAAGTATTTTTTACCTGGGAACAAGGCCCTGCAAATTATTCCAGAGGAGGCACGCTGCCATTTCACTGCTTAAATACCACCTGGAAGCCAGTGGTGGGGGATCTTACCATAGTGGCCACAATTCAGCAAACTTTCTGCACAAACCTCATCACTGAGATCAACAATAATTTCATGGAACCCCACCCTGCTGCTGGAGGTGCCAAGTCCTTCGAGTTTCACACCTGGGGCTGCTCCACTTACCTTCAAGGGAGATTTCTGGAACAGCCTTTGCCCATTGCACGCACGCTGGGCTCTGCTGGCATCTCCCGCCGAGTAAAACTTGATGACGGCGTAAAACCCAGGCCCTGCCACGGCAGCGTTCCTGTGCGCTCGCACCGAGTAGAGCGGCCCAAATTTGGAAAACGCTGAGCACAGGGAATGCTGAGGAAAAAGAAGAGAAAAAAAGGGGCTTTTGAAGTATCTATGGGTGCTCCAGTAGCAGAGACAAGACACAGTTACCTAAAACGAGAAAAGTTTTCAGTACAGTTTAATGGCAATAAGCCCTGGAATAAGCAGTGAAGTTGAAGATAAGCATCTCTCCATAAAAATAAGCTCAACCTGACTGGACCTCTGGCCCTGACGATGTCTCATCTCCATTATCATCCAGTCTCTGCCTCAGGAGGAGAGCAAAGAGTGATGTGGGACTTTCTGTGCCCCTGTCACAACGAGAAAAGTTTTCAGTACAGTTTAATGGCAATAAGCCCTGGAATAAGCAGTGAAGTTGAAGATAAGCATCTCTCCATAAAAATAAGCTCAACCTGACTGGACCTCTGGCCCTGACGATGTCTCATCTCCATTATCATCCAGTCTCTGCCTCAGGAGGAGAGCAAAGAGTGATGTGGGACTTTCTGTGCCCCTGTCACCCTCCCCCCAGGCTGCCTCTTGCTCTCTGCCATCCTGCTTCATGTGGGTTTGCCATTTACTGAAACTTTCAGTGTCTTGCAGGCAGAATAATGGGTTTTTATTCCCTTTTCCATCTTGCGCAGGTCTCTCTGTAGTTTTGCTGTGCAGACCATAAAACCTCCATAGGACTGGGACAGAAATCACCCTGGGTTGGCCTCACATCCCCTCAGGATTGCCCTGCACCCAGCACGCCTCAGGGAGGCAAGGACTAAACTAATATTAAAACCCCAAAAAAATAAAACGGGGGGGCTTTAAAAATATATCTTTACCACACAAATTAAGGCCATCTGAGGCCAGCAGTACAGATGAGGGGCAACTGGGGCTCTAGGAGGGGAAAAAGGGGTTGTGGGGGTACCCGGTTCCTGCTCTTCAGTGCCGGGGGGTTCCCAGGCCTCACTCCTCAGCCCCGAGGGGATCCAGGGCCCCGCTCCCCAGCTCCTCGGGGTCCCAGGCCCCGATCCTCAGGCCCGGGGGCGGGATGGGGGCGATGTTTGTGCCGGGCCCCGCTCTTTAACCCCGGTCCGGGGCCTCACCTCCCCTCACCTCCAGCCCCGGCTCCGGCTCCAGCCCCCAGACCAGCAGCG